CATATTTTACACATTGTGAACGCGTCCATCATTTCTTGTACTTTTCCCGACACATGGAAGCTCGCTACAGTCGTGCCTTTGCACAAGTCCGGTGCCAAAGATCTACCAGGCAATTTTAGGCCAATCTCTATTTTACCTGTGTTATCAAAAGTGTGTGAAAAAATTGTTTGTACTCAGCTGTCATCTTATCTCGCTCGCTGTCACCTTTTAGCTCCGTCACAGTATGCTTACCGATCTAGACACTCAACGGAGGACGCGCTAATCGACGCGGTGGAGTGGATGACGCGGCGTGTCGACGATGGCGATGTTGTCGCCGTCACGTCCATCGACTTGAGCCGGGCGTTTGACAGTGTTGACCATGACGTTCTGCTTAGAAAGCTGTGCTGGTATGGTATTGATCCAAGACCACTCTGCTCCTTGTCGGCACTGCCCAAAACCTTAAGAAAACCTCATCCTTCCACCTTAACCTGCCAGGCTACTTACTAACACCCTCGCCATTTGTGAAGATGCTGGGAGTGACCCTAGACCCCACCTTATCCTGGGAAAAGCACATCTCCAACGTTGTCAAAAAGTGCAATTCCATCCTTATATGTCTGTATAAAATTCGCCATCATCTCAGACCCGACATCCTTAAGCTCCTTATCCAGTGTCATACCTTTCCTCACATCCTGTACTGCCTCTCTGTCTGGGGTGGCGCCGCTGCATGCCACCTTCACCGTGTGCAGAAGGCGATGAATTTTGGTGCGAGGGTTGTCTCTGGCGTGCCCAGGCATCACCATGTATCGCCGATCCTAGCTGCGCTGGGCTGGTGTGACGTGCGCGAGCTGGTTGAGCGCCGTGACTGCCTCGGCGTCTACAGGGCGCTGAGGGACCCGCACGCTCCCGCGGCGATCCGCTCCCTGTTCGTCCCTCGTACAGCGGTTTCCCGGCGCAGCACCCGGTCGACTGAGGCGGGCGCTCTCGAGCTGCCTCCATACCGCCTGTCCGCGTCGCGCCGCGCGTTTTCTTACCGAGCGGCCGCGGCGTGGAACCGCCTGTCGCCGGCTGTCACCGGCTCTGTAACCCGCGCCGAGTTTCTGCGCCGGCTATCGAACTAGTCGAGGGTCTGGTTTGTCCGACTTTGGTCCGTGTTTTTATATACCCATCTCGTGATTGTGATTTACTGTGATATTGACTGTGTCATGTTTTTATCTATGTACTCTGACTCGGACCAAATATTAAGCCACTATGTGGAAATGTCCTCAATACACCGAACTTGAACTTGGTCAGAAGAGATCGGCGATTCGAACGATGTATAATATGACATGTGCTAGAGTGTGCTACTTAACATAAAGCTTCATATGTATGCCGCCATCTCCAGTTAATAATTGTCCTGTTATTGTGTCCACAATATTCGGCAAAAGTGGTTATTTAAGTTTATATAATGAAAATAGTGGTTTCTAGGGCTTCTACGTAAACTCAGCTTCACAGCCATGCCACTAATTTTTAATATTTTCGCATCGAAAGTCTTACAAATTAATGTTCCTCTCACTCTACTTTTTAGGGTCCGCCGGTGGTGTCCGCGCGCCTCTCGACAAACTTCGATTTTGCGGTCAGTTTTACCAAAGATAATTATTTTTTAGGAGGTAAAAATGGCACCATCGGATAGTTTGGACTATTTTGCACACGATTAGACTGCTTTTTACTCAAAAGAAGAGAAACATTATTTTGAATTTATGCGTGCTAATTCTGAAAAAGGGCCACTGTGCCCTGGTGGCGGCGGCACGATTTGAAGCTCCTCTGTCTGAGCTGCCGGCGTCAGCCACTCGACGCTCCAGCTGCTCAAGGCGGGTGAGGATCTGCTGCGGACTGACCTTTCCGTAGAAGTGACCTGTCTGACTGAACACTCCCCCGGGGCCCTATCTGCGCACAGCTGTTCTCCCCTCAGAACATTCCGGGTTCGGTCCACGGCCTCACTGAACGTCGTCGCCCCCTGTGATACGATAGCTACTTTATATCGCTCTGGCATCGCGTCCAAAAAGCAGTTGAACAGAACAATGCCACTTACACTGCCCGGGAATGCCTCGTGCACCAGCTTTTTGAATTTAATCAAAAACACATCGAACGAGTGATGCTGCCGAGGCTCGAGTTTCAAAGACCGGAGCTGGGAGCGATCGTCAACTGAGTTGGGGCGGTGAAAGAACCCTTTCAGGCCATCCACGGTACGCCCGAACGTGGTGCGCTGATCGTCTGTCAGCGAGTCGAAAGCGTCTCTGGCCACGCCCGTCAGACAGAGCGGCAGAAAACGCACGCGCTGCTCATCATTGAGACTGGGATCGAACGCAAAGAATGCCTCCAAATGGGTCAAAAACCTCCAAAAAAAAATCTTCCCCAGAAAATTTTGGAGCCGATGCCGCCGACAGACCACCGAACTGACCACCAACCCGCCCCACCGAGTGCTTCTGCTCGGTCTCTGACCTCTCGGACACAACACCCTTTTCGAGTTCGGTAGGCATTATCGGTCGAAAGATTGCCGGTGCAATATACACGACAGTTGACACAATACACAAACACCGACACTACACACAATATGTCTCCATGCACCAATCCCAGAATGGACTGATCTTTCGACGAGGTTGAGGGCCGGCGACGAATGGCGATCTCCAGTAGCGAAGCCCCTCTCCGAAGGCAGTCGACAGCCGATAGGTACAGCTCGCTCGAGTGACGGCCAGCCGAAGCTGAGGCAGCGCGGCGCACGCGGCGCGCTCAGCCCGGCCGGTAGCAGCGAGCCGACGAAAAAATCTCCTATTCCGTGAGGCACAACGGTGTGGCGCGCCTTTGCCGTGCCAATACAATAGCGCACAGCGGCTCAGCGATACGATTACGGATTCGGAGCACTGAGTCCGCCGCACCAGACACGCTCAGCACTCGGGACGGCAGCTGCTGCGCGACCGCACACCCTCCGCAGCCGTCCACCACCTCACTGCGACCGCACACCCTCCGCAGCCGTCCACCACCTCACTGCGACCGCACACCCTCCGCAGCCGTCCACCACCTCACTGCGACCGCACACCCTCCGCAGCCGTCCACCACCTCACTGCGACCGCACACCCTCCGCAGCCGTCCACCACCTCACTGCGACCGCACACCCTCCGCAGCCGTCCACCACCTCACTGCGACCGCACACCCTCCGCAGCCGTCCACCACCTCACTGCGACCGCACACCCTCCGCAGCCGTCCACCACCTCACTGCGACCGCACACCCTCCGCAGCCGTCCACCACCTCACTGCGACCGCACACCCTCCGCAGCCGTCCACCACCTCACTGCGACCGCACACCCTCCGCAGCCGTCCACCACCTCACTGCGACCGCACACCCTCCGCAGCCGTCCACCACCTCACTGCGACCGCACACCCTCCGCAGCCGTCCACCACCTCACTGCGACCGCACACCCTCCGCAGCCGTCCACCACCTCACTGCGACCGCACACCCTCCGCAGCCGTCCACCACCTCACTGCGACCGCACACCCTCCGCAGCCGTCCACCACCTCACTGCGACCGCACACCCTCCGCAGCCGTCCACCACCTCACTGCGACCGCACACCCTCCGCAGCCGTCCACCACCTCACTGCGACCGCACACCCTCCGCAGCCGTCCACCACCTCACTGCGACCGCACACCCTCCGCAGCCGTCCACCACCTCACTGCGACCGCACACCCTCCGCAGCCGTCCACCACCTCACTGCGACCGCACACCCTCCGCAGCCGTCCACCACCTCACTGCGACCGCACACCCTCCGCAGCCGTCCACCACCTCACTGCGACCGCACACCCTCCGCAGCCGTCCACCACCTCACTGCGACCGCACACCCTCCGCAGCCGTCCACCACCTCACTGCGACCGCACACCCTCCGCAGCCGTCCACCACCTCACTGCGACCGCACACCCTCCGCAGCCGTCCACCACCTCACTGCGACCGCACACCCTCCGCAGCCGTCCACCACCTCACTGCGACCGCACACCCTCCGCAGCCGTCCACCACCTCACTGATCCAGAGCATCACTGATATAGCGCATCACTAATCGCGCACTCCACCGCACTGCTGCGGCACCGCACTGAACCAGCGCATCACTGACCAGCGAATCACTCACGGTGCAAACGTCCTCGCCGTGATCCGGTCTGGGTCTTCTCAGAGCCGGGGCACTCCGACACGCAGCTGGGAAGGGTTCTTTCTTCTTGAGTGCAGCCATCTCGGCCGGACCGGCGGCCAGGTTATCAGCGAGCCCATAGCGGTCGGGCGCAGGGCCGACCAGCAAAAGCAGAAACACCGCTGCCACCAGATGTAAGCGGTTGCCGCGGCGGCTTCGACCTGCCGCCGGCTGCGGCCGCTCCGACTGCCTGTCGCCTCCACATGACTTTATGTATATCAGTAAGTCGCACAAACAGTAAAGCAATCATCACTTAAATTCGGCAGCTGACCTATCAGCCTGGGGACCTATCAGCCTGGGCCAGCAGCACCCTGAGGGGAAGGAAGGGTTCAACGTCCAGCCGTCTATAGAGCCTTGGTCCAGCCGTCGCCGTGGTCTGTCGGCGTCTGAGTCAGGAGTTTTCTAAGCCAATAATTCGCGCCGCACGCACACTGCACGCACAGTGCGTGCGACGCCGGATGCTGGGGTCACCCCGCAGCCACTGAGGCTCCTCGTGGTGGGATATCGCCAAATAGCGAGAATGCAGTGCATCCGCACTCTACATATAATTTAAACATAACTGCTATATGAATTTTGCTTTACTTGTCAAAATCGAATATTCTATTTTTTCCAAGTTCAAAAAATATATCACCTATCCTGCAATCCAGGTAAAATAGACGCTTTCCGCGTCGTTGGCGTTCCCGTTGTTCTATGTACCCTGATTGCTCCATGCCCCTTGCCGCCGTCTGTTATCTCGACTCGGAATGTGTTCTCAGAAATTGATTAACATGTGTGTGTGTGTGTGTGTGTGTGCGTGTGTGTGCGTGTTTCAGTGGGTCGGCGAGGGTGTCGGTGCTGAGGTGCTGCGCGGCAGGCTGGTGCTGGTCCGGCTCCTCTGTAAGGATGCAGCCAGTGCTCTGCGGGCCCGTTTCGCCCCCTGTCTGGCGTTCCGCGTGGCCGGCACACAAGGCAAGTGAACACAGAGTGCCAGGGACGTGAGTACGTTATTGGTGAAAAGCCTATGACAGATAGATAAGAGGCGGTGTTCTCCAGTAGGGGAGGGTGGGAAAAGATGCCCAGGGGTTCATATATTTTTCGAAAATCACGCACGGAAAGCAAAAGCAAGAACTTGAGAGTTTCAACGGAAGCCGACATCATTTTTCTCCACAAAATTTCACACTTTCGTGCTTGAAATATGATAACTTTCTTGTTGTTCATTATTTTCCTGAAGTAGTGCAAGAGGCATCTTACCCCAGAGGGTGGGAAAGACGCCCCTGGCGTTGGGAAAGATGCCCATCCTTAATATAAGTGACGTCAATGGGCACGTGAATTGCCGGAACGAATCAGGTCCCTTCTAGCCTGTGGTAGACACTTAAACGCCAATGTAAGGGCCCTTAGATCACGTGACCTAGGGTCAACTTTTGACCTTTAGACCTTTCGAGGTCAACATACATATGTTTCGATGCGGATCGACGAGAGGATCACGATGGTGCTATTAGTTTGTTCCTAGCTGGGATACCTTGAAAGTTATTCGAGAAAAACTTCATATATATGTATAGTGCCGCTATTTTGACTTCCTTGTAGCTCCTGTGACGTCATCTTTGACCTGACCTGAAAACGACCTCAGTAACAATTATAGACCTTATCCGTGTGTACCCTTTACCGTTTACCGCTTGTCGCTATCTTGCTTTATTCTCGAGATCTCGCTGTCGCTCCCGCTCGTAATAATGGACAGGTCATAAAAATGACCTGACCTGAGGTCAACGCAGGGCGATAACCACTCTTTTTATTATCGCATATGAATGACAATTGATAAGGCTTTAATCGTCATCAGACAAAATTGCAACTTTCAGTGGGGAAAATATCAAGGTCACTCTTTGAAAAATAGGACAAAAGATCACGTGATCAAAATTTTCAAAAATTGAAAATCCGAGATAGCCAAAATGTTTGTTGGTTGATTGTGAGTTGAGCCATATGAAGTTTTATCGTGAAAAAACTAATAGTTTCTGAGTTATAGGCCGCCAAACATAGGGCTGCAGCGCAAACTCCAAGAATTGCCCGAGGCTATATCTCGGAAACCGTTGTTCGAAGAAAAAAATCCTTGCCACAGCTGGCTTCCCCGCCCATCACAACCCATTAGACCAATTTTAAGCAAAAAATAAAATATGAGGGTGCAGGGCACTTGTCGATTTGTCGTGGAACGCCCCACAAGCGCATCTGACGGCTACCTACCTGCAACTCTGTGGGCCCCACACTGGGGACTCTGAGGGCTCCCAGCGACGCCTGAGAGTACCACGCCGGTCTCCAGGATCCCACAGGGCTCCTGAAGGCCTCTACCGACCCCTTGCTGGCCTCTCGAAGACCCCTTGCCCCCATGCCCGTGTCTCTGAGGAGTGAGGACCCCCACGACGGTGCCTTTGAAAAATAAAAGTCCACCGGCGACTGTGAGGGCTCCATACAGAAGGGCCCTACACCGCCACCTCTGAGACACAGTGTCTCTTTAGGCCCCACATCGACGACTCTGAGGGTCCCACACCGGCGCTTCTGGGGCCCCACACCGGTGCCTCTGGCAGACAGCCACCGATAACTGTAGGTGCTACACCGGTGACTTTCGAGGGCCCAACCGGCGTCTGAGAGTCCCATGCCGATCTTTAAGGACCCCACAGGGCTCCTGAAGATAGTGCCGGCCCTCACTTGCCGGCCTGTGAAGACTCGTTGTTGGCATCATATGGCCCGTTACCGGCCTCTGAGGGCCCTTTGCCGGTCTCTGAGAGGCGCTACTGGGTTATTAAGCATTCGCACCAACAACTCCAAGGGCCACACACACAGTCATCTGTGAGGGGTGTGGGCTCAGCGCCACACCAGTGTCTGAAAGATCACCACAACGGCGTCCATGTGAGGGCCTCACACCAGCACCTCTGAGGGTCCACACCGGCTCCTTTGTGGTTCCTGCACCAGTGCCTCTGAGGGCCACACGCCGATACCTTTGAAGGTCCTACGCCAGTACCTAAGGTCCCATACCGGCGGCCCTGGGTCGGCTCTACGGTCTACATATGTATACACCAGTGCTTCTGAGGGCCCCACCGGCGTCTGGGCCTCAGGGTTGTATACGACTCAGAGTTGAATCATGAATCGACTCAAGAATCAGTCATTTTGCTTCGAGTCATGAGTTGAGTCGAATCAAACAATTTGAAAGCTTATTGAATCATGAGTCGAGTCGATTCACATATGTATATTGTATATATAGGCCATTTGAGTCAGAGTTTGAGTCGATTCAAGGCAATGCGAGTCACATTTTGAATCGATTCAAGGTAACTTGTCACAGTCTGCTCCAGCCGCCAGGTAAGATAAATTTATTGTAAAGTCATGAAACTGCTAGTGAGCATCTTTTATGTTTTGGCTGGCATCAGCTATCTATTATATTCAACTTGGCAAGCCAGCATTGCAATTGCCTCAGCCTGTATTTATGCCTATATGTAATCACTACATCTGTGGACTGTTACTGAAATACTCACATTTGGTTGGCTTTGTGAGTGCTAGTAAGGGACACTAACAAGTATGAGAGAGATACCAGTTTACAATTGAAATAAAACCTTACCTATATAATTGTCTCTATCAAAGTTATCTAGAAAGACCATCAATATCCTTCACATTTTTCTTTTCCGATGACTCACAATTGCTGATTCGTGGTCGCGCATGACGTCACAAATAACTATTTGTCAATAAGATAAAAAATGAAGTTTTTCCTATTTCGTCAATAGATGGCAGGAAGCAGAGCGCTTACGGTCACACTGCGCCGCAGCACACCTTTGGCGTCCACTGACTAACTGCTGGCTGAGAGTGCGGCTGTGTTTTGCGCTGCTGCAGGCGAGCCGGAGGCGCCGGCGGCAGCCGGCCCCGTCTCGCTGCCGCTCGGTCTTGGAGTGGCCGGCGTGCTGGTGCTTTACGTGGCCGCCCTGGCCGGCTACCTGGTGTACCGGCGCCGGCGCCGGCGCGCCGGCCACCGACTCATCGAGGACGCCCTCATGGGCAAAGGCAGCAGAGCGGACAGCTCGCCGACGGTCCGCCGGCAACCATCCAACAGCAACAACAACCACGACCACAAGGTGAGCTTCATCAGCTCCTTTCGAGCGCTCTTCAGTCGGCTCCTAGCAGCTGTTCCCGTCGGGCGATTAGTACACACTGCATCATTGGCACATTTCTGGGTGTCATTGGACCAGAAAGACATTTCAAAATCCATTAGCATGGATGGAGTCTGATGAGAGTTCTCGTAATGTCGCAGATCGACTTCTCGATAGATTGCCATTCCCATGCCCACCTGCAACTTTAACCTGCGGGTTTTTACTCGGTGGTGGTAACGGGTGTCTACTAAATAATGAGAAAAGTTCAAGCAGTTAATACGCACTTTTAATGGTAATACAAAATACAATTAAATCCGCTTACTAAATCCACCTTGGTAACGCAACGTTTCGGATTTATTAACCAGTGGCTTCATTCACCGTAGTAGGGTAAGTGCGGGTAAGAGTGCGCAGTTGGTAAGAGGATGTTGCCGGCCGTTTTCGTTGCTTGGCAACAAGACAGGCAACAGCCACCTACCGACTATAGAAAGAACTTCCCCTGACTGGTCTGCCATGCGAGAGGTAAGTTGACGGAAACGTCCTTACGCTTTTAGTCGGGGTTGATTTGTTTTTTTATATTTTTACGATGTTGAGATGTAGCAAAAAGTCATATAAGTTGAAACTGCCTTCCATTTTTTGCTGTTTCTTCCGTGTGTGTCTGACTATGGGCTTGGGCATATAATGCAATGCACGAACATGTCAGATCTTGCATCTTTCATCGCGTTATCAAATTATCTCGTCATGTTTGCCGTACCTGCTATTGGGCGCAAGAGTACGCAAACCTGATCTACATTTTGAAAAAGAAAAATCCAAAAAGGCAAATATGGGGCAGTAAAACTGCAAACTACACGGAATTCTCTGCTGCGTTCCAGAGCGTAAATCATCAACTTCTGATTCACAAACTAGAAGCGTCTTAGCATGTATCTGGCGCTGCTCTCAGCTGGCTCAAATTGTACCTCAGTAACAGGCAACAGCGCGTTGTCGTGCACGGGAAGTATTCGGAGTGGCGTCATGTTACGTCGGGCAAACCCGAGGGCGCTGAAATTTCAGCGTTATGCTTCGCTCTGTACGTTAATGACCTATCAATTGGTATGTCCTCCCGGGTACTTTTCTTTGCCGATGACGTCAAAATATTTCGTCAAATAACCAGTGCGAAGGATGGCGAAAGTTTGCAAGACGATCTTGAACACCTGAACCAGTGGTCAAAGACATGGCAACTAAGACTAAATCCTTCAAAGTGTAAGGAGTTTAGAATTACCTTAAAATCAAAGCCACTAGTCACATGATACAGGGTGTCTAAAAAATGTCACAGCTTTGAACATCTCCCGTTTCGTAACTACAAGGCCTACATCATTCAATTTTTTTAAGATTTAGTGGCAATGTATGTTGTATCAGAAGTGGAAATAGCCGCACGGCTTTAGTTCTCCCGCCTTGTCAATACAGGGTGTCCCAAAAATAATGTCACACCCTTCCAGCGTCAATTGCATGAAAATAACAAACATGAGAAGTGCGCTTTTCTTACATATGTATCCCACCTTCTCCCTGATACGGGCAAGCATACGGTCCGGGACATCAGATATCCTCATTATGATAATTATTTATGTTCTGAGCTGGATCAGTGTTTAATGTTGATATACCAAAAAGGGAGAAGCGGTTACCAACTCCCTCGAATGAAGAGCAAACCATCGCTCCGATACTTCCTGTCGATTCCATGTATGTTTCCAGTGCGCGGCCCCCGTGCGACCTCTCCGCGGTGCTGCCGCCGCACCGACTGAGCCGGCAGAGACCCAGCGCGGTCACGGCCAGTGGGCGGAGTTTAGTTGGGCCCGGCGCAACGTGATTGGCCAGCGCTACCATCCAATCCGCTGCGGGAATGAACGAGCCTCTATCCGGGTGCAAAATCTAATTAGCATTACGGGCCTATGACAAGTGCCCTAAATTTTGATATTTTGTTAAGAGACAATATTAGCCGTTTTCAGGACGGGCTATCCGACGAGTGCATCTAATGGGCAAAGCCATGGGCTCTGCACCCGGATGTGTTGAGAGCGGCAGAAGAGCGACAAGAGGCGAGGCGGGCCGTGACAGCCGAAGATCCTACAGCCAAGACGCGCTGGATCAACGCCAAGAAGCTTGCAGCAGAGGTGGAGGCACGAGTTTCTCGAGAGTCCTTTCGATAATTCGTCACCACTGAGCTGAATCGCCCGTCCAGCGTCGGTCGAGTCTCCCGAATGCTCAAGAAGTGGGAGGGAGGAGGAGATGACGAACACCGGGACGGCGAAGCGATGAAGATTGGCGACCGACTTCTCGTCTCCACCGAGGCAAAGGCGAACGCCGAGGCAAAGGCGAACGCCTTTGCACATCAATATGCCACTGTCTCGAGGCAAGTGAGGAGTCCCAAGATAGACCGAGCGGCGCGGGAGCGGCTGAACCGGATAGACCGACACGCATGCACCGTGTGTCAGAACGACCGCACCGGGTGCTGCTCGGCCTTCACTGAAGAGGAACTCGCTCAAGCCATCCAGAGGACGCAGCTGCGCAAGTCCCCCGGGCCCGATGGCATCACACCTGAACTGCTTAGGCACCTTGGTCCGGTGGCCCGGAGCGCACTGCTCCACCTCATCAACCAGTCATGGAAGACAGGAGTGGTCCCCCAAGAGTGGCGCTCGGCGACCGTGGTACCGATACCGAAAGCAGCGAAGGATAAGAGGCTCCTGTCAAGTTACCGGCCAATTGCCCTCACCAGCTGTGTAGGGAAACTAGCCGAGCGGACGCTGTTACCCCGGCTGGAGTTCCTGGCCGAAAAGCGCCGACTCATCCCCCCCCGAACAAGTGGGGTTCAGAGCAGAAAGATCGGCGGAAGACAGTATCGGGCGACTTGTGCAAGACGTGGAAGACGGATGGCAGAAGCCAAAGAGAGACAAACGGTCAAAACGCCAGGACGAAGAGTCAGCACAGAAGTTCCTCCTGACAGCCTTCAACTTCAGTAGAGCGTATGACGTCGTGGACCACAAGTTACTGCGTCTGAAACTCCTCGAGAGCGGCCTCCCCCTCTGCCCTGTCCGGTGGGTATGGGGATGGTTACGCGACAGAAGAGCGAGGGTCGAAGTTCAGGGAGCTCTCTCCAAGACGAGGATGTTCCGCGCCGGGCTGCCCCATTGGCAGTGTTCTGTCGCCCTACTTGTTCCTGTTGTGGGCGGCAGACCTGGCTGAGGCCCTCCGAGCGCCGGGCACCTCTCTTTACATCTACGCCGACGACACGGCAGTCCTATGCTCGGGCAACACCATTGAGGTGGCGAGAGGTCGAGCGCAGACAGCGGCAGATGCCCTCGTCGCGTGGGCTCACCACAACAAGATGCTGGTCGCCGGGGAGAAAACCCAACTACTGGTGCTCTCCCAGAACGCCCGAGACCCCGTCCGAGGCACCATTAACCCTCGCCGGCACAGGCCATTTTGCGTCCTTCGACGGCACAAGGGGGGGGGGGTACGACCCCCTTTGTGTTTGGCCCCTGATCGAGCTAGAGCTTCGCGGAAAAAGCGAGCGTGTTGCCCGTCACGGGAGGAAGCCGATGATACCCAATTTTAAGTCCTAGGTCATCGGGTGACCTTCCAGGTCAGGTCAATGACCCGAAAACCGGAAAAATCGGGACCTGTTAGAAAGTCGTAAAGTGTGGCTGCTATGTGGTTTTTCGGGGTGCTGATCACGAATATCGTGTTAGTTTTGATCAGAGATGATGTCTTTAAGCATTTAGACCAGTTCCGGTCAGGTCAGGTCAGGTCAACCGGTAGGGGTTGTGACGGGTATTCGTAATACGTGCCAACCGCCTCTGCCAACTTCGTAACATGTTACGAAGGCACCAAAACTACTTCGTAAATGTTCAAATGGCTGCTAAATTCGAATTTAGCTCCAAAAACTAGCCTAGAAACATATAAAACTCGAAAAAGTGAGCCGAGGTCACCCGAGGTCACCAAAGGTCAATGACCTGACCTGACCTTCAGGTGACATTGACACCCACCGTAATGTATGGGAGCAACATCAAATCACATGTTTGAACGTTTGAAACCACGAAAAGCTTGCAAACGCGCGGCTAATGCGAGCCGACATACGCCGAATCGCGATTCCGGCCAAACATGGTCTCAGAAAAGAGGTCACAGGTCAAAGGTCATTTGGGTCAGGGTCATGAAATTTTCAGGGTAAGTGTAAAATTGATCACTGCGAGGGTACTGAAAGTTTCGTCGCGATCGCTCGCTTTATACGCGAGTTATTTGCGAAAAACCTTAGGGGGGTTGCATCAACCCCCCCTCCCCTGTGCCGGCGAGGGTTAAGGTGGCAGGAAAGACGGTGCAGGCGAAAGACACCCTAGTCCTCCTCGGCATGGAGCTCGACCGCCGCCTCCAATTCGGTGCCTACTGTCGTCGACTCCGGAAACGAGTACAGTCGTGTACAGGTTGATGGTCCCCTACTCTTTATCCGCCGGGTTCCTATGGCTCAGCATTGGCAGCAGCCGCCTGGTACCGGTAGGCTGTGCCGCATGACCGGAGAGTTATGCGGCACGGTCTTCCCGCGCCGTTTGACATCGGCTTGTTGTTCGTCCTCTCGGCGTCTAGCGACGCGAAGCCTCGCGGCTTAGCATCCCTCTGCGCGCGGCCGCCATGGCCGCGATGTAACTTGTGCTCCTTGCAGTCTCTCTGGTTGGGGCGTGTATGCTTCCCGTCAGGCGGAACCGAAGCCCCATCTGCGCTGGGCACCGCAACAGAATGTGATCTGGGGTGTCGGCTTCCTCCTTACAGAGTGGGCAGAGGGCTCCGCCGCATGCTCGTTCATTGCAGGCGTCGCACTGCCGTGTGGGGCTCTTGCCGATGCGATGCAGGTACTGTTGCGACCCTGACCAGTGTCCGGCTCTCAGCTGGTGGACGTCGATAGCCGTCAGACGGTCCAGGCCAGACACTGTGGGTGGGCACGTTGTCCCCATCAGGGTTCGGAACCAGCC